AAGACAATACAATTAAAGAATGAGCAAGACATTTTACCAAAGGGGAAAAAACACGTAAGAATGTACAACAAAGACATGGAAAGACAATCAAGATGAATAGTCATTAAGAAAAGCACAAATCAAAACCTCTTTACTCTCAGTAAAGCTAGAAGACAGTAACAAATGTTGGATAAGATGTATAAAAATTAGAGTTAATATACACTGCTTTCAGGAATGTAAAATAATGTATGTGGCTGTTTTAGAAATAGTTTGGCAATTCCTCAAGAAGGTAAACCACAGAGTTATGACTCAGGAATTCTCCTCCTTTTTATATAACCCAGGAGAACTAAAAATTGAAGTTAAGTATCCCTTATCTAAAATGCTTGAGACCAGAAATATTTCAGATTTCAAGGGGTTTTTTTTTGGACTTTGGAATACTGGTACACAATGAGATATCTTGAGGATAGGTCTCAAATCTAAACCTGAAATTCATTTATGATTCACATGAAACCAATACACCAAGTTCAAGAAAACTATTTTCTGCGGTAGTAGGAACTGAACTTACAGTGAACCATGCCTCCAGCACTTTCAGGTTTTGTTCTTTTTCAGATAGGATGTTGGGCTTTTTGTTTAGGTTTGCCACAGACTATGATCTTCTTACCCACACCTCCCTGTACAGCTGATATTACAGGTAGGAGTCTCACTTTTGCCTGGGCTGCCTTCAAACTGTGATGCTCCTATCTGTGTCTCACAAATAGCCAGGATTACAGGCACAAACCACCACAATGACCTGCACCTATGTTTTGATCACAATCATATAGGTTAGGTGTGAAACTTTCCACTTGTGGCATTACTTTGGTGCTATAAAGTTTCAGATTTTAAATAAATTAAGGTTTTCATACTAGGGATGCACAACCAATTATGTTGACACAATAACTTGTACATGAACATTCACAGCAACATTATTCACAATAACCAAAAAGTAGAAACAACTAAAATGTCTATCAGCTGATGAATGGACAAATAAACATATTTTGGTTGATTGGGGGCTTGAACTCAGAGCCTAGGTGCTATCCCTGAGTTTTTTTCTCTCAAGGTTAGTGCTCTATCACTTTGAGACACTGCTCCACTTTCAGTTTTCTAATGGTTAACTGGAGATAAGCCTCTCACACAAGCCTTCCTGCCTGGGCTGGCTTTGAACCTTGATCCTCAGATCTCAGTCTCCTGAGTAGCTAGGATTAAAAACATGAGCCACCAGCGCCCAGCCAAGAAATATTCATGAGCTCTTAAAAAGAATAAAACATTGTTAAATGTTGTAACGTGGGTGAACTTTGAAAACACAGTAAAGGAAAAAAGGAGTGAAGCCAGAAACAAAAGACAACGTATTATATGATTCCATTTATATGAATGGCCAAAAGAGGCAAATTCATATACAAAGAAAAATATACAAGGAGATGCTTGGGTCTGGGAAGAGGGATGAAAGAAGTAACTACTAATGGGGGCATGATTTCTTTTCAAGAAAGTTCTGTGTAAGCATTATTTGGAATAAGATAGCAGCGGTGGTTGCATGACCTTGTAAATATATTAGAATCTTTAGCCAAGAACTGGTGGCACATGCCTGTAATCCCAGCCACTTAGGCGAACGAAATTTAAAAGTCCAGAGACTCAAGCTGGGAAGATGGCTCAGTGGTAGAGTGCTTGCCTTGCATGCATGAGGCCCTGGGTTCAACTCCTTAGCATCACATTAAGCAGAAAAAGCTGAAAATGGTGCTGTGGCTCAAGTGGTAGAGTGCTAGCCTTGAGCTGAAGAGCTGAGGGACAGCGCCCAGGCGAGAATTCAGGCTCCATGACCAACACACACACAAAAAAGTCCAGAGACTCCATCTCAAATTAAAATTAAAAAGCCAGGTTCAAAGTGTGCTTCATATGGAAGAGCGCCAGCCAAAAGCAAGAAGGACAAGTGAGTGTGAGGCCTCAAATCAAGCCCTAGTACTGGGGGAGGAGGGGATTTTATTTTTGTGCCAGTACTAGGCTTGAACTCAGAATCTACAGCTCTCAGTTGTCTTTTTCTGCTCCTAGTTGGTGCTCTACCACTTGAGTCATACTTCCACTTCTGGCTTCTTAGTGGTTAATTAGAAATAAGAATCTGTCACACGGGCTGGGAAGGTGGCTCAGTGGTAGAGTGTTTGCCTTGCATGCATGAGGCCCTGGGTTCGATTCCTCAGCACCACATAAGCAAAAAGAAAAAGCCGGAAGTGGTGCTATGGCTCAAGTGGTAGAGCACTAGCCTTGAACTGAAGAGCTGAGGGACAGTGCCCAGGCCCAGAGTTCAGGCCCCACGACCGGACCCCCCCAAAAAAAACAAAAC